TAAACCGGAGGTGGCTGAGTTGGCTTAGTGTAGACCGGTGGTGATTTGTAAACCGGAGGAGATGAGGGAGAGTAGTAATCAGCGGTGGCTATGGTGGCCAAAGAGAGGAGGAGGCAAATGGCAAAGGAGGCGCGTGTGATCGCCATTGTAGAGCGTGTGGCTTTTCCTTTGCCTTGCCTTAAGCTAGTTTGCCTTTTGTGTTTGAAGTGGGATGAGGAAGTCGATTTCATCAAATGGGGTTTTATAAGAAAATGTTTGGGTATTGAAAAGCATAATAAAAATGATATCTTCAAAGGTAAATAATCTAAAATCATGTTTGGGATTTCTATTAGTGTGAAGCACGATCAAAAACATGTTTGCCATTTACAAGTTACAACTAATTAAGCACCCGGTGCCGACCAAAGGAATTGAGAAATGAAAAGGACTTGGCTCGGAATATTTGATATGCCCATTAACTATACGTGCCGGGAAATATAAAAAGGAAATTTGGAAAAATAACTTTTTTTTTCATCTGAAATATTATATTAAACATCGTAAAATACAATTTTGGAATGCGTTTTTGGAATACAAAAATAGATTACATTGGAGGATCCATACCGGGAATCTCAGACGAAATGACAAATCCTAAAGATCAAAAGACCAAACTATATCTAGGGAAACAAGCTAAAACCAACGTTAATGATCCAAACAAGCCTTCCACCTCCAGCAAAGCTAATTGTCTACCTTCCAGAGAATCCCTCAACCTTAGAACCACTGTTTCGAATCACGACATCGAGGGAGCTGCATACGTACACGAGACGTAGTCACCAAGTCCTGAATCCAAAAACTAAAGCCAATTAAGAATGACATGAGCCAATGTTTAACCAAGAAGAAGAGATCATCCACGAGCCAGAAAAGAATCCAATCAAATTCAGGAAAAATAACTTTTTGAATAAGTTTTTCATTTTAAATTTGAAAATATACCTCTTTAATTTTTTTTTTGAAAATACATTTTTAAACTATGAAATTTACTAAAAAACATGAATAAAATTGTATAATAATTTTTTATATTCTATTGTATAAAAGAAGATGCACGCGATACTTTGAATACTTTAGTCTCATCAAGATATGATATGCTAATGAGATATTCTAGACCAACAAGGATCTTTCCGTCTGACGCTGGCTCGGTGCACTCAATCTTTATCAGTATGGCATTGGAGTAGCCTATTTGACTAAGATTTCCCTATCCAAAGTGATACGGAGACTGATTCTGATTGTGAGGAGGAAAAGAGAAACTAATGTGCGTTTAGAATGTTACTTTAGTTTCTTGTGTATTGGCCCCTTCATCTTTTTTCTCTTAAAAACTCTGTTTTCAATACCTGATATTAATTAAGCTTGTAAGCTGTTCCTCAATAGCAGAAATTTGCACGGATCTAAGATGACATAAGCTGTATAAATTTGCAACAATTCAGAATTTAATAAACACCCACTATTTTTCGAAACACTCCAGTAATCCACACAAGAGACTTCTTGTATCACTCACCAAAATTGTGGAAC